CCGCCGCCGCTGCCTCCCGTCCCGAGGCCGCCGCCACCGCACCGCTTCCGCTCCACCACTCCCAACCCGCGCCGCGCCCTAACCCCACCACCGCCGCCATCATGAGCTCCTCCTCCTCTACCGTCTCCAACCCATTCGCCGGCCCCGACGTCACCCTCGTCCGCGATCTCAACATCCATGAGCGCGTCCCGGTCAAGCTTGACCACACCACCGCCTCCTACTCCGCGTGGAAGCGGTATTTTTCGCTCGTGTTCCGTGAGTACCTCCTTCACGGCCACGTGGACGGCACCGTGGACTCCGCGCTCATGATCCACGACGAGGAGTGGATGATCCTCGACGCCACCATCATCCGCTGGTTCTACCTCACCATCTCCAGCGACATCTTCCACACCGTGGTGGACGACGAGGACGACGCTCATGCGGTCTGGACCAAGCTCAACGGCCTCTTCACCGACAATCGGCTGCAGCGCAAGGTCCTCCTCTATGGTGAGTTTTACGGGTGCCAGCAACTTGACTCGTCCATCGATGATTTTTACATGCGCCTCAAGAAGCTCGCCGATGAGCTCCGTGATCTGGGGGAGAAGATTGGCGACGAGCTCCTCATCAGCACCCTCTCCGGCGGCCTCAACGAGGACTTCGGGAACGCCGCCTCCAACCTCACCCTCATCCCGGAGCCCACCTTTGGCAAGGTGGTCGCGTACCTCAAGCTGGAGGAACGCCGGATGCGGGCGGCTCGGACGCGCGCCACCCACACCGCCCTTGTTGCCGGCACCCGCGGGGGTTCGGCCCCGCCATAGCACCGCCAGACGCCGTCCCCGCAGGCGGCGCCCGCCTTCCCGCCGGGCTTCCCGCCCGCCCCACCAGCCCCCTTCCCGCCGCCCCAGCCGGCAGCCAATGGAGGAGGCCATCGCGGCGGCCGCCGGGGTGGCCGCAAGAAGGGAGGCGGCGGTGGTGGTGGCGGTGCTCAGGGAGGAGCGCCATGCCAGCAGCAGCCGGCTCCTCAGCCGGCGGCCCCGTGGTACGCCGGTCAGAACCCGTGGACCGACGTCGTCCACTCCTATTCCATGCCGGTTCCACGGGCTCCTACTCCGGGTCTTCTCGGCACTCGGCCTCCGTCACACCAGGCGTATTACGCCACGCCGCAGCCCTATGCGGCGCCTTACGGGCGGCAGCCGCCGCCAGGCGGGCCGCCGCCGCTGCCCCTGACGTCTGCGCCGTCCCTCCCACCGGCGCCGTGGGACCCGGCTCTCCTGGCGGCTCTCCACACCGCCCCCTCCCTGTCCAGCTACACCGGTGGTGGCGATTGGTACATGGACAGTGGCGCCACCGCTCATATGGCGGCGTACCCCGGTAACCTCCACACTGCTCACCCTGTCCACACCTCCAACCGCATCACCGTCGGTGACGGTTCTTCTCTTCCTATCACCCATATTGGACATACATATTTTCCGTCTAACTCCACTCCTATATCCATGTCCAATATTCTTGTTTCTCCTGATCTTATTAAAAATCTTGTTTCCGTTCGTTCTCTTACACGTGAAAATCCGGTGACCGTTGAATTTGACGAATGTGGTTTTTCTGTTAAGGACGCTCGCACGCGGATGGTGCTCCACCGATGTGACAGCCCCGACGAGCTCTACCCGGTTCACTCCGCCGCCTCCACCACCTCCGCCGCCCCTGTCGCTCTCGCCACCGGAGTGGATCTCTGGCACGCTCGCTTGGGTCATCCTCATCATGCCACCCTTCGCCACATACTTCGGAGTTTTTCTTTCACGTGTAATAAGAACGAGGATCACTCGTGTCATGCATGCCGCCTTGGCAAACATGCTCGTCTTCCGTTTAGGGCTTCTTCCTTTGTTGCCTCGTACCCATTTGAGTTGATTCATAGTGATGTTTGGACATCTCCTGTTGCAAGTAACACGGACTTTCTTTATTATCTTGTTATCCTTGATGATTTTTCGCATTATGTGTGGACCTTCCCGTTGCGCCGCAAGTCGGACGTCATCTCCACTCTTGTCGGTTTCTACTCTTATGTCCGCACGCAGTTTGGCCGGCCCATTCTTGCGTTGCAGACAGACAACGGGAAGGAGTTTGACAACACCGCTGTCCGCGATCTTCTCGCCACACATGGCACGATTTTTCGTCTCACTTGCCCGTACACCTCGCAGCAGAACGGTCGTGCTGAGCGCATCCTTCGCACTCTTAATGACTGCGTTCGGACTCTTCTCTTTCACGCCAATGTGCCCCCGCGCTTTTGGCCTGACGCTCTCGCCACCGCTTCTCTTCTCATCAACATCCGTCCATGTCGCACTCGCGGGAACTTTACACCTCACCACCTTTTATTCGGTGCACCCCCCTCTTATGAAGGGCTTCGTATCTTCGGCTGCCTGTGCTACCCTAGCATCGCTGCCACTGCGCCTCATAAGCTCGCACCCCGCTCCGTCACCTGCATCTTTCTCGGCTACCCACCTAACACTAAGGGTTACCGCTGCTACGATCCAGTCTCTCACCGTGTTTTCACCTCCCGACACGTCTACTTTGATGAGATGGTCTTCCCGTTTCAGCAGCAAGCATCCCTCGTCGTCTCGTCACCGCCGGCCACCGGCGGCCCATCGCCGACCTCGTCAGGTGGACGAGCACGCCTGGTTCGTGGACCGCCTCCGGGCTTTGGCGGTCCACGGGCCCTACTGCCGGCGCCCTCCATGGCCGGCACCCCGCCTTCACCCGCCGCCCCCGACTCGGGCGCCGCGGGGTCGGGCGCCTGTTCACCGGCTCAGTCACCGGCCGCCTCGACGGCCTCGCCGCCGGCCGCCTCGCCGGCCTCGCCGCCGGCCGCCTCGCCGGCCGACTCGGGCGCTGCAGGGTCGGGCGCCTTCTCGCCGGCTGCGATGCCGGCCTCGACACCGGCAGTGACGCCGGCCTCCTCGCCGGCCGCCTCGCCGGCCCCGGTGGCCCCGTCCGGCCTTGTCACCCGTGCTCGCGCCGGCATTCACTGCCCGAGCCTCCGGTACTCGCGTGATGAGTACGTCCTTGCCGCCTCTGCCGCGGAGCCGTCACCCATTCCTCCGTCCGCCCGCGCCGCCCTACGTGATCCTCACTGGCTTGCGGCGATGCAGGAAGAGTTTGATGCTCTCCAGCGGAACCGCACCTGGACTCTGGTGCCCCGGCCTCCTCGTGCCAACGTCATCACCGGCAAGTGGGTCTTCCGTCATAAGACCCGCTCAGACGGTTCACTTGAGCGCTACAAGGCTCGCTGGGTGGTCCGCGGTTTCCGCCAGCGCGCTGGAGTCGATTTCACGGAGACGTTTGCCCCGGTTGTCAAACCGGGCACGATCCGCACTGTCCTCCAGCTCGCCGTCTCTCGCGGCTGGCATGTTCACCAGATGGATGTCTCCAACGCCTTCCTCCACGGCCATCTTGAGGAGCAGGTGTTTTGTGAGCAACCCACCGGTTTCGTCGACGCCTCATTGCCCGGCCATGTGTGCCTGCTGTCGCGCTCTCTTTACGGGCTCAAGCAGGCACCCCGCGCCTGGTACCAGCGGATCGCCGGGTTTCTTCAGACACTGGGCTTCATCGTCACTCGCTCGGACGCCTCATTGTTTGTCTATCGCCACGGTGACACGACTGCATATTTGCTGCTCTACGTCAACGACATCATCCTGACAGCCTCCTCCGCAGCCGTCCTTCAGCAGATCACCCTACGGCTGCGTGACGAGTTCGCTATCAAGGACTTGGGTGCTCTCCATTACTTCCTTGGCATTGAGGTTGTTCGGCGGCCGGACGGCTTCTTTCTTCATCAACAGAGGTATGCCCATGAGCTTCTTGAGCGCGCTGGCATGCTCAACTGCCACCCGGTTGCTACTCCTGTTGACACGAAGGCCAAGGTTTCTGCTCTTGAGGGTTCGCCCGCGTCGGATGCTCCATTCTACCGGTCTATTGTCGGCGCTCTCCAGTACTTGACACTCACCAGACCGGATCTTCAGTATGCTGTCCAGCAGGTGTGTCTCCACATGCACGCCCCTCGTGACTCTCACTGGACTCTCGTGAAGCGGATCCTTCGCTACATCCGCGGCACGATGTCCCTTGGGTTGACACTCACGGCGTCCACTTCTTTGGAGATGGTGGCTTACTCCGATGCAGACTGGGCCGGCTGCCCCGACACTCGCCGGTCCACCTCTGGCTACTGCGTCTACCTCGGTCCTTCCCTCGTCTCGTGGTCGTCCAAGCGACAACCCACGGTTTCGCGCTCTAGCGCCGAGGCTGAGTACCGCGCTGTGGCTAACGCTGTCGCCGAGTGCACCTGGCTTCGACAGTTACTTCAGGAGCTACATCATGATGTCTCCCAGGCTACGGTTGTCTACTGCGACAACGTCTCTGCGGTGTACCTCTCCGCCAACCCCGTTCATCATCGCCGGATGAAACACATTGAGCTGGACATTCACTTCGTGCGCGAGCAGGTGGCTCTTGGACGCATGCGGGTTCTCCATGTGCCGACTGCTCAGCAGTTCGCTGATGTGATGACGAAGGGACTGCCGACTTCCACCTTTGAGGAGTTTCGTTCCGGTCTCTGCGTCACTGGCGCCGCTTCGACTGCGGGGGTGTTGAGTATATTGTGTACGTGTATATATGTGTGTAGGGCCCACCTCCTGTTTTCTCTGTATAGTTGAGGTTGTGGTCCAACTCTGTACTTATATATACGTGCTTGGTGCACCGATCAATACATCGCGATTGCACAGCCCATAATCGGTCTCTCTACATGCTCTAATATATATTTTCGCTACATGGACACAATTTCATCTTATTTTGTGATGACAAGATCCCTTCTTGCGTTGATTATCTAATAATCTGCTATAAACTGGAGCTCAATTTACTAAAACTGGAAGCACAAGCGGAGGTCATCTTCTCATCAAAGCTAGCTGCAAATCCAGCGGCAGCGGCTGGGCGCCGGCGAGCTCGAGGTCCACGCCGAACAGCCGGACGCACCGGCCGCGCGGCGCCCTCTCGTCTGAGGGCGTCGACCGCTGCGGCATGAGCGTGACAACTCGCGGCACCACCGCTGGCACGAGGAGGCGTGTCACCGGCGCCGAGGCTACTATTCCGGCGCCACGCCGTCGGCAGTCGATGAAGAGGCGTGCGCCGGCGCGGCAGAAGGAGACGGTGTCGCCGGCGGCGAGGCGGCGGTCGCGGACGAAGGCGCTCCACCCTTTGGTCATGACGTAGCTCTGGCTGCTGCCCCAGTAGGAGAAGCGGAACGCCCACGCCTTCCCCCCGCCGCGGCCGTCCTCGAACCGTAGCACGGCGCCCGGGCAGGCCGCCCTCGCCGCGCCGCCGAGCAGCCGCGGGAGGATGTGCCGCTCCGCGAACTGCTTCGGCACCACCAGCCGGTTCAGCTTGCCCACGTCGCTCGGCGTCACCACCTTGTCGAACATGTGCTCCTGCCTGATCCTCTCTTCGCCATTGCCACCCTTGCCGCTGCGCGCCAGCTCGACTCCTCCTCCTCCCCCCTCTTGCGCTGCCCCTCTGCTCTCCCATGCGGCCGTCAACGCCATTGATTCGCTGCAACTCTCAACTTATGCCTATCTTGTTCTGAATTATGATGCATAAGTGCACCTGCACATGTGTGTTTATATATAGAGTAGCAAGCATGGGATCTTTGTGATTTCCCGCCAAGTCGTCTACCCTTCACGCGTTGACTCTCCGTATGCCAGGCATACACACCACGGGGTAAATCTCAGCCGTTGATTCTTTGGATCGACGGTCCAAATGCATCCTTAACTAAGCTGCTTATATGTAGTATTACGTGTGACGTGCCACGCTTAATTTCATGTTAATTAGGAAGCAGGTGAATGTGAAACCATGAGGCTCAGAGCAATTTCAAGCGAATTATTTACTTTTACAGAAGAAACCGACAACAAAGTCGATATAAGTCAATTCGACAGATTGGTGAAGATCAAAGGGAACAGGTCCTCGCCAAGTTAAACCAAGTAGTTAAGCCATCGATGCGACAGATGTGCATTGATAGATAATTTGCCATTTGCAGTATAAAAGAGCCAGATGGTGGTTGCTTATGGAGGTCAACTGCTATTCACAGTAAAATTAACTCTGCCACATTTGCAAGAAAAGTCCTTGTGATAGCTAATAACACTGGTAAACGACAATTTCGATAGACGTAGTACTCCCTCTGTTCCTAAATATTTGTCCTTCTAGAGATTTCAACAAGTGACTACATACGGAGCAAAATGAGTGAATCTACACTCTAAAATATGTCTATATACATCCGTATGTGGTAGTCCATTTGAAATCTCTAAAAAGACAAATATTTAGGAACGGAGGGAGTAGATGCCAGGAGTATATTTAACACATGTACATATAGAGACAATCATCTCAAAAATAGTGATGGAGTTGGTTAATTAGGATTAATTAGATGGGATGCAAGCTGTAGAACTAACCAAATGCTAGTACAAGTCTTATAGTAGCAGTAGAAAACACTAGGACTAGCTGTTGTTGAGCTGGTGCCTTGTGTATATTACTTAGTTTGTTGATGCAACTAGGCCAGGAGAAGTATTGCGAGCTTGTACAAGTGCATAAAAAATTATTGCAAATGACAAAAAGGAAAAATAATGTGCGATTTGGGTGTGTGCATCTGTGGTGGTAGGCTTGTCATCCACTTGTCCGAGCAAATACCCTAATCAATCGAGCAATTAGGAGCTAGCTAATTAAACATTTCGTTAGTTTCCCTACAACATCTGGTTAGTAGCACAACATGATAGTTAAGCCGGTTATTTGGTTTGGTGACCTCACCCTTGGAAATGTTGTTTAGGTCATCTCACCTCCACTTTACCTGGACTTGGTCGCACCCGAAGGTTGTTCCCTGGTGAAGCACAAGGGGTTTAGTTATTCATATGTCTAATACGTAACAATCAAGTAAAGTTTCCTGACCAGGAGAGTTTGGCCAATCAAGCCTCAGGTCAGTATACTATGAAACACCACTTGGCTGATCTTCATGGCCTAGTTTCACTAGTAGAAAATGGGGCATTTGTCCCGGTTGGTGAGGGCCTTTTGTCTCGGTTCTTGAACCGGGATTAAAGGGTCGTTACTAATGCCTCCCCCTTTAGTCCCGGTTCTAACACGAACCGGGACAGATGGGCCTCCACGTGACCGGTGCGTCGAGCCCAGACAGGAGGGCCACCTCATCCCGGTTGGTGGCACCAACCGGGACCAAAAGGCATCCACGCGTCAGCATTTCAGTGTCTGGGGTTTTTGTTTTTGTTTTGAAGGGGGGGGGGGGTTGGGGGGTTAATTTAGATGTTTCATATATTGTGTTAGCTAGCTAATTAATAGAGAGAAGTATCCTCTCTTATGTCCGTGCTTGATCGACGCTACGTACTGTATATAGAGAAGCCCTCGACACGCTAGCTAGTAAGAAAAATGAAGGGAACCATTAAGTATAGAAGTTCGTCATGCATACCAAGAGAACTGATCGATCGACATCTCCTTCTCCGAGAGATTGGTCGAACAACAAGTTTCCGTATTATCTATCCGACACTACTGGCTACATACATATACAATATGTAAGATCTCTTACAATCCCCTAGCAATTGAAATCAACTTCCACATGGTATTCTACGGCTTTATTTATGACGTGGTCAAGAAAGAATCTCGCCAATTTCTCTTGAATTGCTTTCATGCGATCTTGTTCTAGGAGTTCATTCCGCATCTGCCACGTCTAATTTGAAGAAGGGGGTTAATACATATATGAATGAAAATCAACAGAAATGATGGTGTAATAAAATGAAATTGTGAATATTATTGCTTACGCACTTCATATTGTCTTTTAGAGTAGCCCCGCTTATTTTTCAAAGTCGCGTTGTAGATGAACTCGCACACGTAGTATCCACAGAAATTATTCCCTTCTTCCTGCCACAAGCACTTTACGAGAAATAGAGGTCAATCAAACTGATAATGAAGCATTATAAATGGCATTGATGAAAGTACAGCTATAGAATCAACGGGAGATGCACGCAACTAGTTAGCTAGTATTACTTACTTTTGGGAATATATATCGCAGCTCCTTCGGCAGTCCCGGAACTTCTGCGGTGAACTGTTTCCAAACCCTGCAAGACAAAGAAAATAATTATTATTACTTGAGATATCAGGAAATGAACAAAAAGTTGCCGATATGGTGCGATAATGATCGATTGAACTTACTTGTTGAGCAAATTAGTCATTTCCGCATAGGTTTCGGGATCTTTGCGTCTCGAGTCTAAGACAGTTACTACTCCCCGCTCAAGCTTAATCTTCAGAAGAACATAGTGGAAGCTGCGCATGCATGCATAACTCATCAATTACATTACTATAACCTCGCTCGAGTAATAAGGGAAACCGAATATGCACACGACAGTAACACTCACTTGAAGTTGTAAGGAAAGAGTATTAAATCTTTGTTTTGATTTTTGATCAACGATTGTAACAAGTTGGCCTCGGCCTCTTCGGCGTGCTTTTTAACCTGAATTTCATCTATGATATTTGTGTTAATGAACCCAATATCATAAATTTCTTGTTTTTTGCACTTGACAATCTTCAATCTGCATAATATAGTGAGGATAATTAATTATAAATACATGCAATGAAAGAGCCGAGCTATATATAGAGACTTGATGACAGAAATAGTACTTATAGACATTAGCAAAAGACTGTTAATTTATCGAGGGCCTTTTGATTGAAGAACTCGAAGAACTCTTCAAATGAAATAGTCAACAGATCAGTTCCAACGAGGTCGTGCTCCTCTTTAATATTCAGGTATAAAGCATTCGTCCCCCCAGACTCTCTGCAAGTTTTCATGTACCAATTATGGAATCTTCGCATCATCGTTGTTAGAGATTTTTCATCTTTGACGAGAGGCTTCCCGTACTCGTATCTGTGTTCGTCCACCTCCAAGAAATCAGGAAGTTGATTGTCAGGCAGGTAATCTGCAAGACTGCCATAACCGGCCACCGTCCCCGGAGCATTAGCGATGATGTCGCTGCTAGACACATTGAGCGGGGGGCACGATTGCTTTGCTTGTTCGCCGAGCTGGGCAATTTTTTTCCCAGCTGCTCGTTCTTTTAACCTTTTATCACTGACAGTACTTCCCGACCGGTTAGCTTCGAGATATGTCTTTGCAGTAATGCGCTCATAGTTGTTTTTCGGCGGAGACTTTGGTGGTTTCCTCAGGGCATCGATAGTGCACTTTGCTTTCACCGCATCTACCTTCTCTCCTCGAGGTGGATGTCTCTTTGCTTTCACCCCCTCAAAGAATTCGTTCACTTCGGTCTGCACGATCTTCACGTTTTCCTCCTCGGTCCTCTCGTACGGTAACTTCTCTGGAGGCTTGAGAGAAGGACCATATCTGTATTGCCTCCCGCCTCTGCTGGCTGTACTGCTAGACGCCAGAGCAGACGGAGCGGCTGCGGCATCTGTCTTCTTTCGTGCTTGCTTACGAGGCGGAGGAGAAGGACTACGACGCACCGGAGCAGCCGGGGCGGCGGCGGGTCTCTTTCGCCCTTGCTGGCGAGGCGGAGAAGGAGGAGGCTGCTGGCTGCTCGGGCGCGCTGGCGCAGGCGGAGAAGGGGGCGGAGTGCCGCCATGCGCCGGAGAAGGAGGCCGAGTGCCCTGATCGTCACTCGCCGGAGGAGGAGGCGGTGGAGGAGGCGGAGTGCCCTGACTCGCCCGAGGAGGAGGAGGAGGCGTCCAGTTCGGAAGCTTGATGAACTCCTTCCGCCATAGGCATGGAGTCTTCAGAGCAGAACCCAACCGAGTCTCCCCTTCACCCGTAGGGTGGTCAAGCTGGAGGTCCTCAAATCCCTTCGTTATTTCGTCCACCATCACCCTAGCATATCCTTCTGGAATCGGACGACAGTGAAAAGTTGCGTGGTTCAGAAGGTCGAACTTGGCCGACAACCTCCTTGACTTTTAAGTTCTGCCATTGCGTCATAAGGTGGCAATTTTGAGCCTCCGTGATAAAATCCACGGGGTAGCTGGCAGGAGCCGTCAAGGCATGCTCCGGCTGAAGCAGCTCGGTGGAAGCCACGCTGCTTCTCCGCTGAGATGGCCGGGTAGCTTCGGGGGAAGCTTCAGCAGGTCGTTTGCTGCGATCTGCTTCTCGTTCCTCTAGCCCCATTACCCTTTCGTGCAGCGCCTGCAGTTGGCTCTGCTCCAGTTTCTTCCTCCTCTCCTGGGTTTTGTAACCCCCTGCGTTTGGAAATTCAGCCTTCCACGAAACGGAGCCTGGCATGCCTCGTGTCCGTCCAGGGTGCTCAGGATTCCTGAGGGCCATTGTGAGCTCGTCCTTCTCCCTGTCTGGAACGAACGTCCCTTGCTGCGCTGCATCGATATAGTGCCGAAGCCTGTTGACTGGTGTTTTCAGTTGCTCGTCCGTCCAACGACACTTCCCTGATATAGGGTCCAAGGTTCCGCCAGCCCCGAAGAACCAAGTCCGGTAATGGTCTGGCCAGTTCATTGTCTCTGGTTCGATCCCTTTATCAAGCAGATCATTCTCAGCATTGGACCA